CACTGATTACTAAGAGGCGGTTCTCTGCCTCCCTTAATGGTGACACTGGCTCTGACCACAGGCTGGTACTCCTGCTTTTGGCAGACTGAGGCTGACTCCTGCTTTTGGCAGACTGAGGCTGACTCCTCAAAAAATGGCACTGGAGACTTTGTCTGTTGTCCATTCTGTGTTTGGTTTAGTCTTTTACTCAGAGTGTTGTTTTGATGGGGTATTTTTGAGCAGCGTTGTTGAGTTCAAGTTTGATGCCACTGGGAGGAATTTCCATCTGAAAGCAGTACTCAGTAGCTGTATTTCTGCATACAAGAAAAGCAGCTCATAAAATCTGTCCTTTTTGAAATCATTTTTTTGTGATGTCATACGGTCTCCCATTCATCCTACTACAGTTTAGCGCAGCATATTCACAGTGAAGTTACAGAGTGTTTCAGCTCTGTCTGAGCACAATACTAGGCAGCCAGTCAGAACAGAGCACATTTACATATTTTAGTCTTAAAAGTACAGTAACAGCCTGATTAATTCTATGGGATGAAGAGAGATTGGAAAATTGGTATGTAAAAAAATATGGCTGTTTACATAAAAGACATATTTAGACCTGAAAAAAACAATAAAACTACATGAAAAGTGTAGGATGTGGTAGGATGATGAGCTAAAGCTAAAGCCATTACATGTTAAGTGGGGACTCACTGGCCACTCTTAGTTTTCCTGTTGATCTATGTCAGGCGTGTCAAACTGGGGACCGTCTGGGCCAAATTAGGAGACTGAGACTAAATTTGAATCAGTGACATTGGATTTATAACTAGTGACAACCAATCAACATATCCAGTAATAAAATGAATACTTCACTCATTTTGACTATGTACAACAATGATGTAAAGCCCTCGACCAATGTGGATGCCTAAGGCCTCCGCCTATTCTTCCTATAGCTGGTGTTTTACCATTTAGATAGACATATTAATACTGACCTTAGGTATAGACTTTAAGTATTTGGCCATCCTTCCTCAGACCACAGCAATGTCAGATCACTACTTAATCTCATATGAAATCAGTTTTAGTCGTAATATATGTCCATCCACACGCTATAGTGTTAAACACACTATAACATCATCTACACCCAATAGCTTTATTGAAAACCTTCCAGATCTTTCGTCTTTAAAAGTTGTCCGTCTGAACCTAATGAATTAGATATGCTGACTAAATGTTTGGAAGACACTCTTCGCTCTACTTTAGATAATGTGGCTCCATTAAAAAGTAAAAGAATAAGGCAGAAAAGGCTCCATGGTACAATGATCATACTCGAGCTATGAAACAGACTGTTAGGCGATTAGAGCGTAAATGGCGTCAGACTAAACTTGAGGTTTTCCAATCTGCCTGGAAGGAGAGTCTTATAGACGACAGAAAAGCACTAAAGTCAGCGCGTTCAGCCTCTCAGTCTCTCGTCATTGATTGAAAATAACAAGAATAATCCTAGACTACTTTTCAGTACTATCTCTAAATTAACTAATAACCAAGCAGCTACTGAAGCCCAGATACCATCAGCCTACAGCAGCACTGACTTCATGAACTTCTTCAGTAATAAAACTGAATTGATTAGGCACAAAATTGAAAATGTGCAGCATTGCAGTGCAGCATCCTATAAACCTAATCTAGATCTAGAGTGCAGTATAACCACTACAGAGACGCTGGAGTCTTTTACTTTACTCCAACAAACAGAGCTCGTCCAAATTATTTCATCTTCAAAAACAACAACTTGTATACTAGATCCAATTCCTACAGGTTTTCTTAGAGACGTTTGGCCAGAAATAACCAAGCCTTTTCTATCTATAATAAACTCTTCTCTCAGCCTTGGCTATGTTCCACAATCTCTTAAATTAGCTGTAATTAAACCCCTAATAAAGAAACCCAGTCTTGATCCCTCTGAGTTATCAAACTATAGACCTATTTCAAATCTTCCCTTTTTATCAAAAATTTTAGACAAAGCCGTGGCAAAACAATTATGTTCCCACCTGCATAGGAGTAATATATATGAAAAATTTCAGTCTGGCTTCAGGCCTCACCATAGAACCGAAAAAAGCGTTAGTGAAAATTGTAAATGATCTTTTATTATCCGCTGACAAAGGAAACGTATCCTTATTGGTTTTACTCAATCTTAGTGCAGCTTTTGACACAATAGACCATTCCATTCTATTAGACAGGCTTGAGAAACTAGTAGCAGTGACAGGTAAAGCTCTTTCACAGTTCAAATCTTACCTTAGTGATCGCTTTGAGTTTGTTAATGTAAATGGTGAACCATCAGCTCTCACAAGAGTAAAGTATGGTGTTCCACAGGGCTCTGTCTTAGGACCCATGTTATTTACCTTATATATGCTACCACTAGGTACCATCATTAGAAAACATGGCATCAGTTTCCACTGCTATGCCGATGATACACAATTATATATTTCAGCTAAACCAGAGGACAAAATTGAACTTAATAAGATAGAGGACTGTGTAAAAGACATTAAAGAATGGATGTCAAGTAACTTCCTCTTACTAAATTCGGACAAAACAGAAGTTCTTCTTCTGGGTCCAAAAGCTGTTAGGGATAATCCACCTACGTTTACTCTTAATCTCGATAGTTTCTCAGTTGCACCAGGCACATCTGTAAAAAGCCTTGGTGTTGCGATTGATCCCAGTCTGGCCTTCGATGAGCATATTACCAATATTACCAGAATAGCTTTCCTCCACCTGCGTAACATCGCTAAACTAATAAATGCACTGTCGCTACAGGATGCAGAAACGTTAGTTCACGCCTTCATCACGTCCAGGTTAGATTACTGTAACGCTCTGCTTTCTGGTTGTTCCAGCCAAAACCTTAACAAGCTTCAGTTAGTCCAGAACGCTGCAGCCAGAGTTCTCAGCAAAACCAGGAAATTAGACCACATTAGCCCAATTTTGTGTACTTTACATTGGTTGCCTGTTAAATTCCACATTGAATACAAAATTCTTCTACTGACGTATAAAGCTCTGAATGGCCTTGATCCTCAGTACCTCAGTGACCTTATTTCCTATTATCAACCAACATGCCCACTTAGATCACAAGGTGCTGCTCATTATTAGTACGCAGAATAAATAAAATTACATCAGGGGAGGAGCCTTTTCATACAAAGCCCCCCAGCTTTGGAATAACCTACCAGTCTGTGTTCGGGACTCAGACACAGCCTCCATCTTTATGTCTAGGCTAAAAACTTACCTGTTTAGTCGAGCCTTTGGTTAATTTGTTTTCCTAACTATGCTGGTGAACTGTGGAGAAAATGCCACACAAGGAAGGAGAAAATGTGTGAACTGTCAAGCAAAGACACCAGTGTACTGTATAAGCTGTAATATGGCTCTGTGCTTTGTGTCAAACAGGAACTGTTTCAGGGATAATATGGCACAAAATGCAGAGACCTGCATAAGGAGATATTGATAAACATGCTTTCAGAACAGGCTGCGGTGCTGATGTAGCAAATTTAATATTGTAAACAAGAGTGTTTGGCATTAATTGTTGACTTTTTACAATTTTTATGTTTAAAAAAAAAATTCAACTTTTGTAATTCTCACAGTAATGAGACTGCACTAGCCTAAGTAGTCGATGATTTAAGACTCAATGCTGAGGACCGAAAGGTCTCGCTTCTGAACTTGAGCTTGAACCCTGATTTTGCTGGCAATGACATCTTAATTGATGGATTATAGATCTGGGTAAGCATTTCAGGCACTGATATTTACTGCTTTACCTCTTCAACAGAAAGTTTTATGTAGAGCTTCAGATCCTTTTGTGGTACGTCTTGTGGAGTTCCCCAAGGTTCTATTCTGGGAGCTGTCCTATTTAGTTTGCATTGGCCACTTACCATTTGGAAGCCTAAGGGTTTGATTTTCACTGCTGTGCAAATGACATAACTGTATATTTCAATATCACCTAATAGCCTCATTGGCAAACTGCCCACATCAACTTATGGATCTCTCAATTTTCTTTGAATTAACAGGCAAAACTGCTGTGTTGTTTTTTTTTATGTTGAGTCAATGTTAGAGAGAAACAAACTTTAAACTCAGGGCAAAAAGTACTACGTCATATAGGAAAATCATGGCACGTTCTTAAATGTTGAGACCCTAACATGACACTTGACCTTTTTTTTCTTTTAAAGATCTTAGAAATTTTGTTAAAGTTTGGCTATTTATCTGAAGAACTTGTGCAGAGGAACCGACTGAATATGCCAATAAAGAGGACTGGCTCCATCACTGTACTCAACACCGACTCCCTGCAGGTGATAACGTGAAACGAAGGATGCTGTGTTGGCTTATAC